TTTTTTTTTTTTTTTTTTTTTTTTTTTTGAAAACCGAAATCTTGCGAAGCCTACCAATATTACGATAGGCATATTCGGAGATTGCTATATTCTCAGAAACTGGATTCGTTCTTTCTGAAAATCGCATCTTTACTCCATTTCGCAAAGTTTTTTCAAGATCTCAGTTTGTAAAAGCCGAAACTTTGCGGAACCTAGACTAGATCTCGTTCATAATACTCTTCTGACATGTCCTACTCATAATAGATTGACAGATATACAAAAAAAAAAAACAAAAAAAAACGAAGTAGTTCTCTTTTATTTTTTATTTTATTTTTTATCTGTTGATTAGGGCCGGAGGAAAGTATTCTTGGGTTGTTTTCCTACCTTCGTTTTCCCTCCCACCCACCCTTTGCATGCATTTCCCGGTTGGTACGGTGACACGTCAGCTACAGTGACACGTCAGCAGGCCACGTCAACACTGACGCGTTAGCTACAGTGACACGTCAGCAGGCCACGTCAGCAGTGCCACGTCAGACACAGTGCCACATCGGCAGTGCCACGTGAGCAGTGCCACGTCATCAGTGCCACGTCAGACAGTGCCACGTAAGCAGTGCCACATCAGCAGTGCCACGTCAGACATAGTGCCACGTAAGCAGTGCCACGTCAGACACAGTGCCACGTAAGCAGTGCCACATCAGCAGTGCCATGTCAGACACAGTGCCACGTCAGCACAGCCACGTCAGCAACATGACGGGCCTGCCAGGCCAACTGGCCAATGAGCCCATTGCCGACTACAAAAAGCGCTTCCAGGCTCAGCTCGCTGCAATCGAGGCTGAGGAACAACGCCAGCTGGCAGTCAAGGCTGCCAAGCTACAGGCTGAAGAAGCGGCAGCAGCAGAGAAGCTGCGGCTACAGGCCGAGGCTGACGCAGATGCCCAGGCTTGCCGCAAGGAAGCCTAGGATCTGCTGCAGCGGCATGAAGCCAACAACATCGAGAGACTCAAGTACTGGCACTTTGAACCGAACGGCGACGAGGCAACACCGGAAGAGCAGCACAAGGAGTTCATGGCCAAGCTCGTGACCAGGCTGGTTTACACTTGTAACCACCTACAGTCTGAGCGGAACCATAAGATTCAGCACGAGGATGCCACACGGGCACTGGACGCCCGTGTACTGGACCTGGAACAGGCTGTACCAGGACCAGATGCTGGAGCTTCCAGCAGTGCATCCTCTAGTCGCCAACTGGAGGAACGCGTTGACCACGTAGTGGCAATGCTAGGAGACATAAGTGCCTTCACAGAGCCGGCCACCATCAGCCAGCGGTTCGTGTTGCTGGACACTAAGATCAGTCAGCAACAGCAGACTGACCACAACCACAACAACAGCTCGGCGAGGCCATACAAGATGCCGACGTTCCGGATCGAGAAATTTGATGACTACACACATTAAGACCCGGTCGTCTAGTGGCAAGGATTTACAACGGAGTTGGGGATTCACGAAGTCCCTGACCATCTGTTCATCAGTGCTCTGTTCATCAACACCAAGGGAGGTTGTCAGATCTGGCTCAGCCACATGGCAACCATCCACGGCGTCCAGGTTTCAGACCTGTACAAGAAGGTCTCCTGGGAGGACACGACAAAGGAATGGAAGAAAAGGTTCATCGTCGACGATGCCCCGACACTCGCCATCAACCGCATCTTCACGATGGCTCAAGGGAGCACAACGACACGTGATACGTTCACGGATTGGCAGAAGATCGTGGCAACGCCCGATTTGGACTTGCCATTCCCGCATCTGCGGCGTGAGTTCTACAACAGGTCGTGCGCCACTCTCAGCCTCGCACTTGGTGATCGCGAGCAGTACAACACTTTCGCGGAGATAATCAACAAGGCAAGGGAGATCATCAAGACTAACAGGGCAGCTGCGCACGAGAAGTCCACGTGGCAGCCAACCTATGTGGAGAAGGTACGAACTAGTCCGCGACAGCTGCAATCCAGTCGGAAAGTGGAGATAACCCAGCAGCCACTCCAGCATCAAGTGACGGAGATCAGGTGGCTGCTGTCCAGCCGCGAAGCAACAACAAGTCCCGCAACAATGGGAAGGCGAAATCCGCATCGCAGGCCGGAAATGGACAGCCAGTACAAGTTCCATGGGTCAAGTTCGGCTTGACCGAGGTGGAGTACAAGGTTCGCGGCCGCTACGGCAGCTGCTATTGGTGCAACAGCACCAAGCACAATACCTCCCTATGCTAGGATCAGGGCATGGAGGATGTGCGACCCTGCCTCAGCTCGGGAAACTGAGCTCCGCGGAAAGTGAGGCGACTCCACCTTCTACTCCGCCAGATTCGGCCGCCTTGCTAGCGGCCTCCTGCACATCTGGGGAGAACGGGAATGTCGCAAGTTCTCGTTACACTTACGAGGACTATGCTGTCCACTTGGTTCCACCGCTGGGCCAACCGCTCCACGTGCAACAATCTACCGCATGCACGGTTTCATCCCCAGCGACAATCGATTCGGCAGCTTCGCCGCAATCTATCGCCGGGGATTCGACGTCATGGTCAAGACTTGAAGAACTCGACCCATTGACGTTCACAGACTTCTTGTGGATGCCCGTTCCCTCGAGTGGACGATTGCCGAAACCGCATTGCAACGTGCTCATGGCACAATTGCGGGATTACTTGCACACTGCAGTACCAGCTCCGTTGATGGACGCCGGAGCAAAGGTTGTCGACCTTCACGCTTACATCACGAAGATCGACCTCGAGTTCAATACGCAACGGTACGACGACATCGACGCACCATTACTATACATACGCATTGAGATCGGAGAGGCGACCTGAAGTGCCTTGATCGATTGCGGAGCATCTCGCAACTACATCAGCCAGGACTTCATGGTGCGCGCCGGCCTTGGCCCACGCGTCCGAAGGAAGACCCAGCCTACGCAAGTCACATTGGCGGACGGTCACACGCACAAGTCAATCGACCGGTGCATTGACAACGTCCTTGTGTACTTTGCCCCTCACGCAAGTGAGGCGGTGTCCTTTGACATTCTGGACACCAAATTTGAAATGATCTTGGGCATGTCATGGTTGCGAAGCGAGGATCACCCGATGAACTTCTTCCACCGCACCGTTCACATTCGTGATCGGAACGGAGTACTAGTTCCATGCACGGTGCCTCTTCCTCATCCTTCGATCAACTGCCACGTGGTATCCGCCRCAAGCATGCGAGCTTCCATCATCAGAGACGACATCGAGGAGATGGGGGTGTGTTTTCTCCACGCCCTCCCGCCMCATGACGCTTCATCGACGGACTCACCTTCGGATCCACGCATCACCGAGCTTCTCGACGCCTACAACGACGTGTTCGAAGGCCCGCACGGAGTAGTACCGGATCGACCCATCCGCCACGAGATCATCCTCGAGGACGGGGCCGTACCTCCGCGCGGTTGCATCTACCGAGCGAGGAAGAGTTAAGTGTGCTTCGGGCACAACTCGACGACCTTCTGGAGAAAGGCTGGATTCGGCCTAGCTCATCGCCATACGGTGCTCCTGTTCTCTTCGTCCGGAAGAAGAACAAGGACCTGCGGTTGTGGATCAATTATCGCAAGCTCAACGCGCAGACGATCAGGAACGCCGGCCCTCTCCCACGCATCGATGACCTTCTCGAGCGATTGGGCGGCGCCCAGTTCTTCTCTAAGCTGGATCTCAAGGCAGGGTACCACCAACTCGAGATTCGCAAGGAGGATCGATACAAGACCGCGTTCAAGACACGGTATGGGCATTTCGAATGGCTGGTCATGCCGTTTGGCCTTACAAATGCCCCAACCACTTTCCAAGCGGCTATGACAACGGAGTTCCGACACATGCTGGATCGGTTTGTACTCATCTACCTCGACAACATCTTGGTGTATAGTCGGAGTTTGGATGAGCATGTGGAACACCTGCGCACCGTTTTGGAGCAGCTACAACAAGCCAAGTACAAAGCAAACCGCGACAAGTGCGAGTTCGCACAGCAGGAGCTGGAGTACCTGGGACACTATGTGACGCCGCAAGGCATCTGTCCGCTTGCGGACAACATCGACGCCCTACGAGTATGGCCCGAGCCCACCAACACCACGGACGTTCGTTCATTCATGGGGTTGGCAGGCTACTATCAGCGATTCATCACCGAATACTCCAGGATTGCTGCACCTATGATGAGGTTACAGTCACCAAAGGTGCCATTCGTATTCGATGACGACGCACGCCGGTCATTCCAAGCACTTAAGACGGCTATGCTCATGGCACCCGTCCTTAGCATCTATGACCCCACCCTGCCGAGACGCAGCAAGCCCCGCAGGAGGAAGTGCCTCCCATCAACTCCCTTGATGATGCAAGGAAGAAGGAGCTGCTCGCATTCGTGATGGCTCTCAAGCGCTGGCGGCACTTCCTCCTTGGGCGTCGTAGGTTCACATGGGTCACAGACAACAATCCATTGACCTACTACAAGACGCAGGACACGGTGAGCAGCACGATCGGACGATGGATGTACTTCATCAACCAATTTGACTTCACACCGAAACATGTCCCCGGCCTATGACACATCATGCCTTCGCATTCGACGAGGAGCTTCAACGACACTTCATCCGGGCATATCAGTCTGATCCGGACTTCGGCACGCTTTATGCACAGCTATCTTCGGATCACCCGCCGGCCAGCCATTACCGCATTGTCGACGGGTACTTGCTCCTCCACTCGAGAGGCAAGGACTTACTATGTGTCCCACGCGACCGTCGTCTTCGGACTCGCCTCCTCGGCGGGTATCATGATTCACGACTCGCCGACTATTTCGGAGTCAACCGCACTATCGCACGGCTTCGACAGCGATTCCGATGGCCTGACCTCATTACCGATGTCACTCGGTATTGCGACTCTTGCGAAGTTTGCCGACGCAGCAAGCCCCGCAACCGCAATCCCTACGGCGAGTTACACCCGATGCCTATTCGACGGGAACCCGGTCTCTCCATTGCCATGGACGTCACTGGTCCGTTTCCTCGCGACCGGCTCGGGCACGACGGCATCCTCACGGTTGTGGACCGATTGAGTAAGTACGCGCGTTTTCTCCCTTGCAAGTACTACTCCACGGCTCCCGAGCTAGCACGCCTCCTGCACACTGGTTGGATTTGTGGCCACAATGTACCAAAAGACATTGTCAGCGACCGCGACACTCGTTTCATGTCGGCGTTTTGGACTGCTCTCATGCAGGAGTCCGGCACAACAATGAAACCAAGTTCGGCTCGGCATCCTCAGACAGACGGGCAGACGGAGCGGGCACCTCAAACCGCTCAAATGCTGCTTCGTACGCTCATCCGTCCGGACCAGAAAGATTGGGTTGACCGCCTCCCCGACATCGAGTTCGCCTACAACACTTCGGTGCACCCGGCGATCGGCGTGACTCCATTCGAGTTACACCACGGTGGACGGAAAGGCCGTATCTTCGCCGACCTTCTCCTCCCTCGACCAGCCGACATTGACGCTGCCTGCTCTCCCGCTTCCGTCCGGAAGTGCAAGGAATTGCTGACTCAAGCCCGCGCAAATATGCAAAAGGCTCAAGTCCGCATGCAGCAGCAAGCCAACAGGCGTCGCGTACCATGTCCCATCCGCGCCGGTGATCTGGTTTGGGTCTCCGCGGAAGAGTTTGCACTGGAACAGGATGTTTCACGCAAACTGCTTCCCAAGTGGTTTGGACCTTGGTCTGTGACAGCAGCCGCGGGCGATGAGCCCGATGGCCCTTCATTTGTGATCAACATTCCAGAGCATCTGACGGTCCATCCGGTCTTCCACGCCTCGAAGCTGGCAACATACACGCCAGCCAAGAGCGACGACTTTCCGAACCGACGATCGCAGGACCCTCCTTCTATGGATGGTCATCAGGAAGTTGACCGCGTCTTCTCCGATCGCAAGTACGGCAGCAAGCAGCGGCAGTACAAAGTCACATTCAAAGCATGCGATCGCGACGACACTCGGTGGATTTCAGGCGCAGATTTGAAAGCATCCGCACTGCTGATCTACGCGCATTATGAAAAGCGGAGGTTAGCTCAGGAAGCTTCACGACCAGCCCCTCCCACCTGGACTGTGGTCCCTCCCTCAGACAGACAGCTTCGCCCTCGCAGGTAAGCTTGGTTCTTCAAGGAGGGGGGGGGGGTGGCATACTGCGTAGCCACACGGGCCCTGCAGGGCCCATCCCGGACATTCAGCCTAAAAGCCTAAAACTTAGGGCTTACAGGCCCCGGTCGTTTCAGCTTGAAAGCTGAAAAACGAGGGCCTGCGCGCCCTACCCCGTTTCAGCCTATTTCTGGGTCTTTTCAGACCCAGAGTTTTCAGCCTGAAACGGAGGGCCATTTTCAGGCCCTCATTGTTTCGACCTGCCCCTAAGACTCAGGCACGCAAACAGGGATGCGGAACAGGCCAAGAATAGCCTGTTCCTCKAGTTTGAGCAGGAGCTGCAGCGGCAGCCCCTGCCTCCGATCGGCATTGGCAAGAGCAGYCTCCTGGACTGCTCGCCAKYAGTCAGGAGGCACCCCRGTAGTACATAGGACTGTCCTAGTCACTTCACGGGTAGGTAGTTCCAGTAGTCAGAGGTAGTCTTCAGGATTCGGCCGCAGCACTCAGGGGGAGCGCTGCAGTAGTCTTCAGCGTTTGGTAGTATTAGCGCTAGCTGTAGTCTTCGGCGCTGGGCGCCATAGCTGTAGTTGTAGTCTTCAGCGCTGGGCGCTGGTAGGTGGTAGAYSGTAGAGTGGGAGAGATACTGGCGGAGGCCAGTGATASTTACCTGTGGCGCCATCGCTCCAGCTCCATCTTCGTGGTACCTGCATCAAGGCGCCAACTTCACAGGTTAGTACTGGACACACAGAGAGAGAGAGAGTTCTTCTTCTTCCTCTTCTAAGTCCTCCTTCTCTTCTCACCCTCTCGCCACCTGACTTCTCAGACTACGACAGAGAGAGACAGAGTTGTGACTTGAGACTTGACGACATTGGATCCAGACTTGACATTTGGGATTCAGACATTTCGATGAGGGACTATTTGGGCTTGTGCCGAAGACTTGGTGTTGACGACATTCCCATCTTCCCCCTCCTCTTCGTCTATCCCCTTCCTCTTCGTCTGTGTATGGTATGGGCTGGCGCAGTCTTCCTGTGTGCAGCGCTTGGCCCCATTCACACCATGTAACGATGATGATGATGTATGTTCAGGGCTGCATTGCAACATTGATTGTTCGGATCACTGGCATCTAAGTGTTCCGTTGTGCTATCTTATACTTTGTAGTGAAAGGTCGGTTCTTGTTCTGGTCTGCATGTTAAAGTATGCAACATCCCATCTCGTCGAAGCCATCGTCGAAGCCGAATTTTGCTGTCTTTGAAGTTTGCTTCCACTTCGCCGTCATGAGAGCTCGTGTGCATACTGATTGGCTTCAAGGGCAATGATTGTGATCACGCAGTCGGTGCAGTACGTCGTTCCTCTCGACCGAGGTACAGTCCCTCCATATCCGCTCCCTTGTTTTTCTTTTTTTAACTGACTGAATTTGGCCGCTAGCACGACCAAATTCAAACAAGTGGTAAAAAAAAAAAAAAAAAAAAAAAAAAAGGAGAGAGAGAGAGAGAGAGAGAGAGAAGCCATCCTCTTCGATCAAATCAGTGTCCCTCGTCAGCTGGATCAAGGGCATCTATATCAATCGTGACATCATTAGCAGGCTCGCGGCTACCTTCATCAGCAGGGGTGCTGCTTTCGCCAGCGGGGGTCTTAATTGCCTCATGCTAGCCACCCTTGCACCCAAGAGTCACGTTTGCCTCTCTCGGCGCCATAGCCATTCATCCCGTTAGTCATTTCTTCCTCTTATGATTCGCGTGTGCCCCTCATTGTCGACATCAGATATGCCTTTGTATAGCAGCCACGATTGCGAAGCCTATGCTACAGCCACGCTGCCTCATGAGTATGGCCGCCTGGAATTGCAGATCCACCTCGGCTGACCTCCTTACATTGTGCCTGTGGAATTACGTGAAACGGGCCAGGAGCAGGTCGATTAGGGAAAGTTAAAGAGTGAGAGAAGAGGCACATGACTAGGGAGGCTGAGAATCAAGATCATGTTTTTACTTTTGCTTAATCAGACCCAGATCCGTCTGTGATTACAGTTAGGTGCGTTCAGCGAGAAAAGTGTATTTTCCGCTGGTTACGCAGAAAGACTCACTCTTAGTTTCATCCATTCTTGCCCTTGCTCTTCACGGGATCCTACTATCTGTTGACCATGAGAACTACTGTTATAGCTGGTACAACGAATGGGTTTTAATGTGTGAAGTTACCATTACTGACGTGAAGACACAGTTGACAACCTGCTAGGCTGGTCTAAGTTGGTGCTTCTAGGCAGCAGCGCGACAGGTTTTTGCAACAGGGGGATTCCATTCACTCGGGAGACCAGCGGTGGCCTTTTGCCTATCGGTAATGCTGATTGTGGAAAGCAGGCTGCTACTACTATGGCTACAAGATAGTTCAGGTTAGTGTGATCCTAGGGCAGCTGCCACCGAAGCCAGACGTATTACTGTGAACCCAAGTGTCATTGAGGGACACCACTGCGCACTTACTATTATACCTACTGTGTCCTCCCTACTGCTAAGCTGCAAGATGTTGTTGCTAACAAAAGGAACGCAGTCTGCTACAACAGTGCATTCGACGATACTAATGGTCTTCTCAACAGATGGATGCTAATGAGGAAAGAGTTGGGCTATGCCGCAGTTGACTCAGGGATGAGGCAGGATTGAAGTTTCGAGTTACTACTAAGCAGCTATTGCCTTAAACTGCCAAGTACGGTGGGGTGGCGGGTTTGATTTTACTTCTGAAGAGATTGTTGTTGCCACCTTCTATTGAATCACAACAAGTTGGCAACTAGTATTGTTGGACTGGAAAACCTGTGCTGTGACTATATGTACCGGCAGAAGACAAAAGTGTTGGGGGTTTGACTACGAGTTGCATCAGATATTGCAGCCTGGAGGAGGGGTTGAGTACTCACCTTGATGAACCGACGATGCGGGATGAACCGAAAAGCCAAGCTATGGTACCAAACTGCGCCACGGTAGCCGGTTAAGTATGACAACTCAGAATTGAAGGAACCAGTGCTGTTGCTGAAAGTCGAAACTACCAATGTACAGCATTGCTGTGCTTTTTGCAGCATTGATGTATTATATAGCTTCGCCTGTTTTCCTCGTTGTCATGTACGCTGCCTTGCTGTGTGTCGGATGCGACCACTGCGTTTTAGCTATTATGGCTGCTGCACCATAAACTGTGTTGCTGAGCCGCTAAGATGATTGCTACAGTGTACCGGAAAGCTGCTTCGGCGACACATTCAGGTGGCTGACGAAAACTTCATAGGATACTGCTGCTGATCTCGAGTTCATGGGAGCTTGTTGCTGTTGGCGGCTACTGCGGTCGTTCCCAAATAGACCACTAAGGCATGCTACTATCGTGTATTGCTGCGTTTCTGCTCACGATCGAATAAAGCACAGGCAGGGTGAGCTTTCATCGAAAGCAACCTTCCTAAGTTACATAGCGGTTGTTTTGGTAGGAGGTGGAAGCATACTGATTTGGAAGGACTGTCACGCTTCACGAGGGGATTGCTGCCACAGCTTGGAAGGCTTGCCAGAAAACTGTTACTCTGCGTTTTGGCCACGACTCAACCGTCTTTACTGCGCTTTCGACCACCATTGCGGGGCCCTCAGGATCTGAAGGCACCAAGGCCCTCTCGTGTGAGTTGAGTTGGCCCCTTCTCGTACCTCGAGCGTTTGACCACTCTTCTTTTTTCCTTCTTCCTCTCAGTCTAGTCTATGTTTGGAGAGGAAGGCGGCAGACGGGATTGCAACCCATAGGACCGCATCAAGGCCTTTGTGGGAGGTCGACCCATCGATTGTGGGAGCTCTGCCGGAGCCCAGGCGGGACTCTGGAGGCAGGGAACTCAGAGGTAGGCCGACACTATACCATTAAAATCCCAATAAACCCCTATCTATACAAACCTGGTGTTTGGTCTGTTTGACTTTGACTTGTGTATATATTTGTTTTCTTTTTCAGGACTTTAATTGAATCAGAAAGGGAATCTACTATGCATGTTTAAGTCATCAGTCTATGGTAAGAACCATGATGTTTGTATGCGATGATTTGAACTGGGGCTGGAAATGAGGTCCTCCAGACTGATCCGGTTGTCTTGCTGTTTTGCTTAAGACATTGAACTGGGGCTGGAAATGAGGTCTTCTAGACTGATCCGGTCGCCTTGCTGAGTCAGTCGGTTTTGCTTGTTGACAAAGGTCTGAGTATTCTCTTTGTGAGGATAGTCAAGGCTAGTGTGTTAGCGATTGCATGGGGTTGACTGAGAACAATTTGGAAAGTTAATCAACTAAGTAAGATACAGGACTAATGCTTTTGCGATCAGAACAAGCGAAAGATGAAAAACTTGGATAAACGAATCCTTGTTTTGGCTGAATGCGTTGTAAACATGACATGCTGGCTGACAATGACTTGTCGTTTATTCAGGCTCTGTCTGTTTTCTGCATAGTAGGGTAGTCTGTTAGTGCTCGCCTTATGCTTGAGCGATAGGTAGGTAGATGTTCATTTTTGTTTTCGCATTTGTCTTTTCATGCATGATTGTTTTGGTAGGGCATTGGTTAGCCTCTGAGTTAGTAGAAGTTCCGGGAGCCTCTTTTCCTTAGGAGAGATGCTGCCAAAATTTCTGTTAAAAACTCAAAGTTAGTCAAGTTTCAGAGATGTCAGTCAGGATAGGATATAGTTTAGTCTTTGGAGTCAGTAGGAATTCTGGGAGCCTTCCTTTCTAAAGGAAGTGCTGCCGAAATTTCTACTTAAACCAAAGAGTTAGTTTATTGAGTCTCAAGTTTTTCTTTTAAGATTTAGTACAGTAAATATTCTGCGAGCACACTTCCGCAAAGGAAGTGCTGCGGAAATTTTCAAGATTTTCACATCGTTACCGGACGCTACTACTAAGTAGCCTAAGTGCAAATACGGAGTTGAACTCCGTTAACTCGATAGGCGATGCCTGTCTTGATCTTTGTGACGCAGATCATTGCTACCTGCGAGTGTTCTTCGAAGTCTTGAGCTTCATCAACTTCTGCTATCAGGTTGA